AGTTCTTTGCCACATGAGCTTCCCTGCTCCAGCATGGCTCACAACCTGACAACCTGACTTCCAGCGGTATGAGTGAGACAGCAACAGAGGATAGCAGGGGTCTTTTCGTAAACCAGTCTTAGAAATTACACCACATTTCTTTGAGGCCATCACATTCATTGTAGTTTTCATTCACATTTCCCTTATGAGTAATGATGTTAAGCTTTGTATCATATGCTCATTAACCATTTGTATAACCTCTGGTGAAATATCTACTCAAATTTTTGCCCCTTTGAAAAGTTGAGTTGTTTGCCTTTTATTTAATTGTAAGAGTTCTTCATAAATTCTAGATATAAGTTCTTTAGTAGATAATTGATGTGCAACCTGTATGTTTTCTGTAGGTATATAACATGTTACTATGAGCCTAGCAGTTTAAATAATGCAACCTATTATCCCACAGCTCTACAGGCTAGAGGTCTGGTAGAGGTCTCCCTGGACTAGAATCTAGCTGGTGGCTGCTGTACTACTTTCTGCTCGTTTGAGTTGTTGGTAGAATTCACTATCTTGCACTTTAGGATCAAGCTTCCCATGTTCTGGCTGTGTGTAAACTGCTGGTGATTTCTAGTTTCTAGAGGCCACGAGCTTCTTAGTCCCTTTCTTCCATATTAAAAGTTACATCCTTGCTCAGGTGTAGTTTCTCGTGCCTGGAATTCCAACTACTTACTCTGTCGGCTGAGGTAGGAGGGTTACAAGTTCAAGGCCAGCCTGGGACTCTGCTGCCAAATAAAAAGTAAAAAAAACGGCTTGGGATGTACCTTGCATGCAGGAGGCCCTGGGCTCAGTCCTCGGTACTGGGGGGAAGGAAGCTGCCTTGTGACTACCTGCACATGCAGCTCCGTAGCACTTCATGGTGAAGTCTGTCTCATCACAGTTTTGGTTAGTTTCAAACTACCCTGATAACAGAGGAAACTCTCTCCCATTTCACAGTCCTTACCTTAGTTACACCTGTAAGTTCCCTGTGCCATGTAAGTTTATATATTCACAGGTTTGGGGATTAGGAAGAGGACATTTGTGGAGTGGCATTATTCTGCCTACCACACAAATATTTTTTTCCCACTCTTTGGCTCTTCATTTCCTTTTTTATGGCTCCCTTTGAAGTACACGTTATTAAGTTTGTATGTTAATCAATTTATTGTTTTTTTTCTTTCATGTGTCGTGCTTTGGTATTTTGTGACTCAAGTTCACAAAAATGTTTCTCTCTTTTCTTCCAGAAGTTTTTATATTTTTAGTTTGTCAATGGATTTATAATCCATTTTGAGTTAGTTTTTGCATATAGTTCTAGATAAGGATCTAGGTTTATTTTTTGATTCATTAATTCCTTGAGTTATTTTGTACATGGATATTTAGTGATTCCAGCACCAGTTGTTTAAGACTCTTCTTTTGCCCATTGAATTGTTTTCCATCTGTGTCAAAAATCACTCCTTGCTAATTGGAAGGATTTAATTGTGTACACTCAGTTCTCTTCCATTGATTTCTGTGCCTACCCTTGTATCAATGTCACCCCACCTTCTCAGTATTTTAAAGGTTTTGTTACTATTACAAGAGGAGTTGAGATAATTTTGAATCTAAAACATTAACTCAGAGTTGTTTCCTTTAGGCTCTTTGACAGAATATATTAGAAAACCGTCTTGTCTTTGGAATAAAAAGAAAATGGATCTTTTGTTCCTGAATTAGGTAACTTAAAATTGCTTTCAATCTCTGAAGTTCTGGCTTATAAAACTAAATTGCAACAATGTCAGAGATTTGGGTATTAATGTTCTATTAAATATCTTAATAGTATTTAGTTTGGTACTTTGAATTTGAACTGGTTATTGTTATTATTATTATATAATCCTTTTGCCTTTGTGAAAGTTTTATTTTTTAAAGCTCCAATCTCTCTTTCTCTCATTTAAAATAAGAGCAGTAGTTTATCTGAGTCACAAATCTGAACTTGGTCAAGCTTGGCTGTGACAGCTCACAACTATTTAGGAGTCATCATCCAGGGCAGCTCAGCTGGGCCATTTCCAAGATGGTGCCCTCACCTGCCTGTTAACTCTGGGCTGCCATTGGCTAGAGGTCAAATGGAACTGTAGGTGGGAGGCTTTTCCCTATATGGACCTCTGTATGGGATCTAAAGCTCTGATCTTTCTTACTCCTTTCAGGTCAACCTTAGAACCCTACAGAATCTTTAGCAGGCCAGTTCCCAGCTTGCCCGAATGGACACCGTTTTCAGTTTCATCCTTTGTAGAGATGCAGAAGCAGCACTGTGAGTGCCTTCCTCCGGAGACCTGTGTTCCTTTAGTACAGGCCTCCATGAAGTACCCCTATGTATAAGGCATCAAGGAGGAGAGGGAGCTATTTCTGAAACTTCTAAAATTATTTCAAAACAAACTTGGTATAGATTTTGTAACTATAAGAGATAGTCTGTTATTCTGTTTTGCTGTTTTGCCATTAAGGACCTGGAGGGGAAGGGGATATAAAAAGAGTGCAGATATGTCATGTACGTGCTCCAATTGCCCACAATGACTGTATTTGTTATAAAGCCCAAACATGTACTAAAAAACAGTTGAGGGCCTGGTCAACACAAAACCATGTGCACAAATGTTGATAGCAGAATTGAAAACAACTAAAATGCCCATTAACTGATGACTGTGTAAACAAAATGAGCTATGTCCACACAGTGTATATTATTCAGCCATAAAAAGAAATGGAGAAATTATATGTGATACAGTGTGATAAACCTTGAAAACTTTATGCTAAGGGGAAGAAGCCAGTCATAAAACACCAAAGATTGTATAGACATTTATGTGAAATGTCCAGAATAGGCAAATCTATAGAGACAGAAAGTATATTAGTAGGCACCTGAGGTTGGAATTATTGGAGGAGGGGGTACACTGAAAAAAAACACTGATTTTCATAATTCAAAGGGGTAAATAGGTATGTGAATTATATATCTCAATAAAGTTACTAATAAACAAATGGCATTAAAGTTAATGCTCTTCAAAAAAAAAAAGAAAAGAAAAAAGGGGCTGGGGATTTAGCTTAGTGGTTTCAGCTCCTGCTTGGCAAGCAGAAGAACCCGAATTTGATCCCCGGTCCCAAAAAATAAATAAATAAATAAATAATAAAGTTAATGCTCTTCAAAGTAGTATGCGCGAAATGTTTTCACAATGGTTTCTCTTACAAACCCAAAGCTCTCAAAAGTCCTGCTAGTCCAGGGGTGGTGGTGTATATCTGAAGCCCAGGCACTCTGGAGGGTGAGGCAGAAGGATTGCTTGAGTCCCAGGAGTTCAAGGCCAGCCTGGGCAACCTAGCAAGACCCCCATGTCAAACAGAAAAAGTTCCAAGGGAGAAATATTGAACTAATGGAGTGTATGTTTTCCATTGGGGAGAAAAAAAGAGCTCATCTTATATTCTGTTCAATTTAGAATAATTTTTTAGAAGTATACTACTAAACATCATTGGGGAATTTCTTGAAAGTACTAACTTTATTTTCAAAGTGACTTATTTTCAGTGTAATGGAGAAAAACACATTAGATTCTCTTCTTCAAATCTTCAGTAGATTTTGAGTTCTTATATCTTAGTTTCTCCCCACATGAGTTTGAGGTTTTGAAACTAGAAGGATCATGAGTAGATTTTATGAGTCAGTAATCTCTTAAATTTTATGATAAAGTTTGTATATGTATCTTTGAGTACATTTCTTGGAAGGGGATCCGTATCTTGCAACATACTAGTTAGTGTACTGGGTTTTTAAATTTTTATTTTTATTAGTACATGTTTGAAGTGCATAATGATTATGCTCATCATGTAGTCTCATACCAAAAGAAGCACTGGTCTAATTATGGGGCCCTACCTATAAGAGTAGTTATCATGATATGGGCTGGGGATTTGGCTCAGTGGTTCTGCTTGCCTGCCTTGCAAGCACAACAGCCCGAGTTCGATCCCCAGTACCAAAAAAAAAAAAAAAAAGGAAAAAAGAGTAGTTAGCATGATAAAAGATTTTAGGGTATCCTCTCTGGTCCTTGAAAATGCTTTGCTTAAAATTCTAATTTTTCTGTTAATAATTTTAAAACTACCTGTCTGAAAAGAACCTTATGAGCAACTTTTTAAAAAAATGTTTTCTGAGGAACATTATAAACTGGAAACACCCTTGAAGTTTTGTCCTCTGACTCTAGCTTTAAAGATGGGAATAATGATATTCTTCCAATTAGTAAAGCCACAGCTGCAGATGCTTACTACATGTTCATTCCTGACAGGAACAGGTGTATGTGACAAATAAAGTGAAACCTGTAATTTCTAAGGGTATAAGCTGTAGAAACCTGGGATTTCTAGGGTCTTAGACGTGTTCCAAATAAACACCTATAAATCCAGAAATATTCCAGGCTCTCTAGGTTATTTGAACCTTTTGGTAGCCATTGGTGAGATTAATCTAAATCAAGCTCTCTGGAATGTGTTTAGGAACAGCTTTTGGCAAGACCAGAATAGCTCCTAGCTATTCTTCAGAATGTCAGGGCCATCTGCTTGTCTTGCCAGCTTAGGCATGTTTTGAGTTTAACAGGCGATTTACACGGCTTCCAGGCAAGGTAGCAACAGTGTACTGCTCCAGGGGATGCCATTCGTACCTTACACCAGGAAGTTGTCAGTCAGATAGAAATAAAGGGAATGACACCCCGTGGAGCTGCACACTAGCCAGTATGGTTAGCCGAGCGCTCTGTGAGGAGGTTCCATGCCAACAACACTTGCGCTGATTGCTGTAAAGAATGTTGGTTGATAATAGTAGTGGGAAAATCTCCATTTAGTTTCGGTCTCCAGCTGGACCACATATTTTGGAAATGATCATGTCTTATTTAAAAGTTTTTTTCTTTTCTAGCACCTGGAGAAAGAGGACTAGAGAGATATGAGCAGGGCTTTTAATTTTCGTCCCAAGAATTTCAGGACATTTCAGTTATAATACTTGTTTTCTTTCACCCAACTTAAAATAGCCTGTCAGAATGAGTGCCTGAGAACATCTTATAAAATGACCTGAGCAGAGCTGATGGAATATATTTTGTGCATGTTTTCACCATATGGATGGTTGTCATTCAGTACAGTGCAGAAGCAGTTGCTAATTCCGGCCATGACATGGTGTCCTTGGAATAAGGTCACAGCCAACAATCACAAATGCACTTTGGATTTCCAGAGCTGGCCAAGAACTGGTGAGTTGTTGATTTATAAATTTTGGCAAAGATTATCACCCAGTGCCTCTATTCATCTGTAGCAATAGATACCTCACTTTGTGGCTGAGCCCAGAATTCACAGTAACTTTTTCAGTTTCTCCTATGTCAGTTGTGGACATATGTTCATGCTCTATCGAGTAGAATGTAAGTGGGGGTCTCCAGTAACAACTTTGGGAAGTGTTCCTAACAGTCAGTAGGTGTGCAGCTCTGCCCATGTCATTTTTGTCCCTTCCTCCATCTTGCTGCCTGAAACATAGGTGCATGCTTGGAATTTTCCCCATTGTACTGGCCTGTGATGACCGTGGCCATATTATGGAATAGAGAGAGGCAAGAAGCTAGTAATCCTGGGGACCTCAAGGAGTATGCAGTAGTTGCCGCTCCAAACCACCTTTCAGTAGTCACTTATGTGAGAGGAATCAACTCCTGTCATCAATAAACTGGTGTTACTGCAGGTCTTTAGTTATTCAAGTTGTCCTGAATCAGAGCTAATGCAGGTAGGGTCTAAGAATTAGAGGATTGTTTTTCCATTTTTTTCTTTGTGCCATAGGTAATTCCGATGCAGTTTTAAGAATCTAGTCTTATGAAACACAATTTCTTGTGCTTTGAGAAAAAAGTTAGGAGCCAAGTGGATTTCCTTCAACTTGATGTTGAACCGCTCATATATTTTTATGTCCTGTTGCAAATAAAGATTGTGCTAGGCAGTTCGTGGAGATGCCCACTAGGAACTCAAGAGTAAGTGTTTCATTAACATTTAGTAGGAAATGGTCTCAGAGGCCTGCTTGAACCTCAGATAGATTGCTGCATAATTACTGATAAAAAAAGGCTTACACTGAAAGTGGGTACTGTCAGAGAAGGGCTCAGTAATGACATGATGGAAAAGCAGCATAATTCGAGAGCATTATCTCCCCACAAGGACCAAAAGGGGAGTACCAGACCTACAGTGCACAAACCTGCGCACTAGTTGAGAGATCACTAAACCCAAGGGAGTGTGAAAGATGATCCTATAGTTGCAGACAAAAAAGTGGTATAGCACTATTATGTATTTTCACCTAAAAAAATAAGACTAATCTTGATCGATATTTTGTGTGCTGAAGCACTGTTATCCTCAGACTTGCATCTCAGAAGCCTGCATATTAGAAATGAGCTGTCCTGAGAGAAGGGCACAAGTTCCAAAGTACAAAGAGGTTGATGGTGGTCTTCTTCCTGTTTCCCCTGCTGTCCATCTTTTGAAAAGTAGCAAAAATTGCATGTGCTGGGGTGAGTGAATATTGACACTTAATTTTTTTACCTTAAGCCTTGAAAATGCTTGAAATAAAGCACAACTGATGATAAATAATGCAAACTGCAACAAATCATGAGAAAGTGGCCGAGCTGAGAGTCCTGGGATTAGGATGTTATCAGCTGTGTTAAAAGGTAGACTGGAGCCAGGGATTTAGCTCAGTGGCCCCTCACCTGCTTTGCAAGGACGTAGTCCTGAATTTGATCCCCAGTACTGCGAAGAAAAAAAAAAAAAAAGTAGAATGGCTTATTCAAGCCTGATAAGAAGTTGTCCAAAAAATTTTGACATCCAGATGAATTTTGCTCTAAATGTCTATTGTCTTATATTAGCTAATAATGTGAAACTATCTATTAGCAAATGTTTTAATATAATGCTTAGTTCATCATTATCTCCTAACTTCTAAATTTATTTTTATTGTACATATTCTGCACATCAGTATAACAGTAAAAGAATATTATTTGTAAATCGATAATCATCCTGTATAGATATATACTAAAAATGTCTATAATGTGTTGCCCAGATCCCCTTTCAGCAGTGGAAGCCTTTTTTCTCCCAGGTACTTGCTAAAAGGGCTGCTGGAAGTTGGCCTACCTTGGGGATTTCCTTATCAAAGTCATACTTTCTTATGAGGTTAGCTGGCATCCCTTGACAAATCTCCTTGCCCCCAGAAGGGCTGATGTGAGTCTAAAGCTCCCAGTGACATTGTTTGGGGTGAGGCCTACATTGGTGCCACATTGTGCCTCAGTTTCTCCCTCTGTTCATTCTTGTTTCCATTTGCTTTCCTAGGGGTTGATGAGAAGAGCACTCTCTAAAAACGCTAATCTCCATCTCAGAATCTGATTTCCAAGGAACCCAGCCCACAGTGCCCGAGGTGCATGATGTAAAATGTTGGGAAACTGCTGGGCACAGTGGCACATGCCTGTAACATCAGGTACTTGGGAAGCTGAGGCAAGAGGATCACAAGTTTGAGACCAACCTGGGCAACTTAGTGAGACTTTCTCACTAAGTAAGATTTCTCTCAAAGTAAAATTTTAGCTGGGCATGGTGGCGCACTCCTGTTATCCTAGCATTTGGAAGGCTGAGGCAGGAGGATTGCTGAGTTTGAGGCCTTCCTGAGATACACAGCGAGACACTGCCTCAAAAATAATTTTTTTTAATAAGAAAGGCTGGAGCTGTTAACTCAGTGGTGGAGCTCTTGCCTAGCAGTCATGAAGACCTGGGTTTGGTCCCATAAGACTGAAAAAAAAAGGAAAAGAAAAGAAAAGGAAAAAAAAAAGTTGGGAAACTATCAAACCATGTGCCCCCAACTCCTTTGGTATTTATTTAATGTTTCTTTTGGTTTCATGTGCTATCATTGACTTTTAGCCCATGTTTCCTATATAGTCCTGCAGATGCTTTATGTATAATTCTGCCCACTTCTGGTGATCAGGGTTGATCACCCATGCCAGGGTGGTAACTCCCTGGGTACAAAGATCCAGAAGTGACTGAGTGCAGCCATAGCTTAAGGGATCCTTATTGTGTCCTTCGGGAAGTGTTTCCTGTCCAAGAACCAGGACTTCTAGATCTCGGCATGCCAGCTGCTTATGTAGAAGCAAACTTCTCCAAATGGGTCACTGGCAAAGGTGATAAGAAGGGCCACCTCTCCTTCCACTCTATGATCTCTAAGACCCTATATTCCACCTAGTGGGAACATGATACTGCAACCTGCATTCTGGAGTATGCTACCCCAGTGTCATGGGGAATTGCCATAAAATTGGCACCTTAGCAGTATCTCCAAAGACATATTCCATTGCTCTATTGGGAAGGCATTGGCTTCTGAGGGGCACAGTATGAGATTAGACTAAGTGGTTCTGTAACCAAACATACACCTCTGTGCCTATTTTGTTCTAAAGTTTGCCCTTTGGTCTTGTGCAATGTTATGTGAGGTCTTGTGTCCCTGGCTCAGGTTCTAAATCCTTGGAAATGGTGCCAGATGCGGAGTCAAGAAAGGAAGCTATATCTGGAATATATCTCAATTCCAGTCAAAATGGATTGTAAGTCCTCCCAGATAAAAGCATTGTGATATAACTGCCTTACCACCAAGCAGTGAGACCTGTCATCTGGGGTGCAGCCTTGGTTTCTGGCCAGCAGTCTATTCAGTACTTGGATCAGTCCTGGTGAGGAGGAACCCGTTCTGTTCAGCTCATGCTCCCTACAGCCACACCCACACTTGTCCAGCACCAATGCTAGCACTACAGTGGGGACAACAGTGACCAGTTGGTGACTAACTCTGTCTACTTGACTGTTTGTGCGTCTTCTTTGGTGAGCATTCTCTGGAGGTCATTGACCAGTGATACATAGCTGTTCAAACTTCTTGCTCATTCCTATCGGCCCATTCCTCAATATTCCATTTTTACTGTCCCTTGCCTTCCACAATTTCTATTTTCAGGCCCTGTTTGAAAACTGTCTGATGTTGATCTAGTCGTACCTCAAGCCAAGTCTGTAATCCAAGTATTGTCTTCTTCTACTCTCTGCTGTGGAAGTCCTAGCATTTCAACTTTACTAAATGTGTACCTTTATTTGCTCTAAGCTTGCAAGAGTCAGCCCAGCATTGTCTTAGCGATGTCTCCTGGAATGACAAGGCACCGAATCCTGCATCAGATAAACACTTGCGCTTTTGCAGACTCTCCTATGAAAGCTTATGACCCGGGCCCCTCAGTGCCGTGTGTACACTCCCAGTTTCTGCAGGTGAGTGTTGCTGACTTCCTCCAGCTCTGAAGACACACGCCCTCTGCAGGCCCAAACATTCAGGGGGACCTCAGAGTTTCAGATTTCCAGATTCATTGACCCACATGTCCCCATCGTAATTTGTCCCCATCGTAATTTTTCCCCGTTAAAACCCTAAGCTACACATATAAAGATGCTGTGAGAATTCAACCTTCTCTAGAATTCCACTTCCGTTATAATTAAGTCCTGAGTCTGACCTCTCTTTGTTTCCCCTGGGACTACAAGAAATGACTCCTTCATATGCTGCCCGGGAAGTCCTCTGATGTTCACAGTGTGTCTTACATTGGTAATTAATCACCTTCACACCTTTTATTATATTTCTCTACTACAAAAATAGCCCCCAGCAACAGCCATCTGATTTCATTTAATTACAACTTCCTATAAACCTCTCAAATGCCTGAGATATTGCCCTCATTATCCTGTACCAATATCCCATCCTAATTTCTCCACTGGTAAACTTTTGCAGTTACAGCATGCCAGAGACCATGAATACTCCACTTACTACCAGTGATGACATCCTTACTGGTGATTGGTTGCTTGGTGATGCGGTTCCAAAATCCCATTTTAGGGTTTGCGTCCTAGAATCTCTTCTGTTAGCAACTGTCATAGACCAGTTTCCTCAGGAAAGAGGCTCTGAAATAGAGATATCCATGTGGGAAGACCACTGGTGCACACTCTGCTGGTGAGTGCTCTTGAGAATGACACCTGTAAGGGAGAGAAGAAATCAGGGTTGAACAGAAGGAGTTGAACTGTGCTGGAGATGCAATAGAAGCTTCAGTGGGCCCATGGAGAGGTCTGAGGCTCAGATGAGCTCAGAGAGCTGGGCTTTCGTACTTGACATACTTTTGGATATGAGTTGCCCCTAAGGAGGGAGGCATAGCCTTGGACACACCTTCAGCCAGTGTCCATCCATTCATTAGAGGGAGTTAAGTCTCTTTACCTTCTCCCAGGTACTTCCAACAGCTGGGAGAACCAGTGCCTTGCTACTGAAGGAAGGACTTTGGTTGCTTCTGCTTTGGAAACTGGTACTGTTGTCACTACACTAGTATTTTACCTTTTTTGCTGTCTACTACAAGAAACTTAAAACTCCTTGATATCCCTAATCATGTGGACTCTTATCACTGTATGGTACCCAGTCTTTTCTCCCTCAATTCTCCAATTCTATCCCTTGAGTCCTCTAGAGTTCACAGTTTATACCAGCAACAGACTCCAGTCTCAAAATGTCCCTGAACATTCCTTCGTCTCAGCAGAAACTCTTAGAATATTCAAGGGACTCTCCAGCGAATACTGTCATGAGCCAGCTGCAGAATAAACTGAGAAGTAAAACAAAAATTAACTGTGGAGGCTCAAACAACTCCTATGTTAGTAAGAGTCCAAGTTGGAGGATGTGTTTTAGATATAATTGCCCCCACCAATTTAGTAACATTGCATCAGAGAGCTAGACAGACAACCACATGTGGTCACAACAGCACTGGACCTCACACTGGAGTCACATGTTTCCCAGAGCTTTCAGTTCAGTTGAGCTATAGCTTGGATCTGGGAAGTTTGCCAAGACCCATTTGATGAAGGCTTGGTTCCCAAGTTGGGGCCACTGGGAGGTGGTAGCAAGTTTAAAAGGTGGGGCTTAGTGGGAGGTCTTACACTATTAGGGGCATGTGCTTGAAGGGGATATTGGGACCTAACCCACCGGCCAACTTCTTGTCCAGGCCATGAGGTGCATGGCTTTGCTCTGCCATGGACCTCCCACCATGATGTCCTACCTCACCATAGGCCCAAAAGCAATGGGGCTAACTGAAGATGGGCTGAAGACCCCTAATTGTTGAAGCCTTCAAAATTTAGTAAGTTGATTATCACAGGTTGTGAGAGACTGCTTGGGCCTGCATAAGATGGCTGCCCTCAACCTTAGCCTTTGCCTCGGTGGAAAAATCCCACTAGACTACATACGTGACCTTTGGCAGGTCTAGCCCCTGGGCAAACAGGAAATCTTACAGAAAGAATAGCCCTTTGTGCTAACCACAGGGTCACCGGATCTGGAGCAGGAAGCAGGTGGTATTTCCCCCGTCCTACTTGCCCCTAGGGATTGTGCACTTACCCCTCCCCACATTTGGTAAAATACTGATTGCTGTATGGTTAAATGCTTGAATGACTCATGTGATTGGTAGAGGATTTGCTTGAACTGTCCAATAAGCTTGCTGAACCTTCCCCCTGGGATAACAGTATATAATCGTTTTGCTGAGCCAATAAAGCGCCTTTGATCAGAAACCAGACTTGGGCCGTGTACTCTAACTTCTTAAAGATTTCCTTCACAGACATTCAAGATCGGATCGGCCTCTGATGACCCACGAATAAGAGGCGGCTCTCACCTCCTATTCCCCGCGGGACGGGGTCCCCCCAGAGAGCCGCAACTGGCGCCCAACGTGGTTTACAGAGGTTACCGACTCCCGATCGGACGGCAGAGAGACGACGAGTCCGGAGCCCGCCCGTCAGACACCAGGTAAGCCCCATCCGGGTGGTGCAGGGTTGGGGTTAGTCAAATCTTAGCTAAGGCACAGCCGCCGTCCCAAAGTTCCCCGAGAATAGGGGGAACGCAGTTAGTGAAGGAGCTAAATTTATCTCTGATATAAAAAAGCAGTTGAAAAACCGTAATATTGAAGTTAGAAAGAAAGATCTCTTGCAATTTCTGCTGTTTGTACACGAAGTATGTCCCTGGTTCGTTATCACCTGCCCCAAAATTGTGCCTTCCACATGGGACCAGATTGGTCGCGAGCTCGCTGACTACTTTGATCAGCACGGCAGCACCTCTCTCAAAGATCATCCAGGGCCCCGAGGCTGAGCGTGCCCTCGGTGATGCCGCCACTGTGGCAGACAACGCCCTCATTAGACAATTAGCCTTTGAAAATGCTAATGAGACCTGCAGAGCTATTCTAAAACACAACTCCAAAGCCAAAACTCTGCACGACATGATTAATCTCTGCCCAGAGGCGGATCCTTTTATGCACAAGATCACTAAGGCCCTTGTCGCCTTCCAAGGCCAAAACAGGGGTAAAACATGCTTTCAATGCGGCCAGCCCGGCCATTTTGCCTCCCGCTGTGGAAAGTATTACCTCAGGGCATGGCCAATAGCCCTACCTTATGTCAATATTTCGTAGCTAAAGTTTGTTTAATAGTAAATGAGACAGAAAAA